CTTCGTTGATAACAAATAACAGACCATTGAACAACTGTTTTTTATGGATTTTGTTTTGTTTTTCTTCAGCTTTGATCCCCCTAAACACGTCAGAAAACAAAATGAATTGGTATGATGGAAGTATAGCAGACGCCATTCGCACGGTACGCGAACAGTCACGTAATTTGCTCGTCTTCATTCAAGGTAAGCAGTGCTCATCTTCATTTCCACATCCTAGGCACGGACGAAACTTCGAAAGCTGTGGATCAATTGTTCGATGCGGATGTGAACCATGATTGTGAAGATTTTGTTGGTATGTCATTGATTAGTGCTTTATCTTTGTCTGATAGATAATACAACTGTTAGTCTGTCGCGTAGCTTCTTTGGTCAGTTATTTAATAATAGCCTTCTTCCAATCCAGCCAAGTTACAATAACATCTACCCACCGTTAGTGTGAATAGTTGGGGTCTTAAATGGAGCGCCGATGCAGGCAAAATTTCCAGTGTGACATTACACGCAACACAGATTACTGGCGCGAGATATTTTTCTCTTAAGATAGGTGACGAAGGGTGTCTCATTTGCTAACTAAGAGTAAATTAATGAGAAAGAATGATTTTCCTATGAGTAGTAGTATCACTGTTGCCAGTTTCTATCACTGAACCCGGTTCATCACACAACTGTGTAATAGAAAAAAACTAACGAAGGTGGCTGGCTACCTAAAGATTATTACTCGCGGAGCTGTGCGCTATGAAACAAGTATCCAAATCACGAATAAGGAGGCGGCTATTTCTATTGTATTGTATTCAAGCTTTAACGAGGTATATACAAGCTTTCAGCCAAAAAATAAACCACCGTTACAATTCTGGTAAAAACAGGGTAAAAAGTTGGATGTGAAACGTAGAAAAATATGAGTTAATTACTAAATGCATTAAAAAGCTCAGAACAGACACTTTCCTTGTCGGTCGGTATCCAAAGAGTTTCTATATGCGAATATGCGAGACGGGATAAGTTTGTACTTGAAATGGGTACAGGGGTGGGATTTGCGTGCACGCAAGTCAATGTGTAGAGGATAGGTGCAATTAGGTAGGATATTATCAGCAAACTTCAAGCACGCATCAATATGGGCATTACACATATTGCCAATCAGAACAGATAACGGTACTTGGGAGACACGGCTGATCATTGAGAGGCCACGCCTCAACAACTTGAAATCAGCCTTCTACAAAACCGGTGAAAATTACAGGAGAGCAGTACAGGGGTATAAAGAGGACACATTGTTGAACGAAAGCGTTTATCATCGACGAGTCAGAATAGAAGTGGCTCAGTTTTCTTATCTAAAAAGAGAGATTTTTCAACTTACAAGCAACACTGGATATGTAAGGACGAGTGAAGGTTACTCTGAAGTGTGACACCTAAGTACTTCACATGGCTGACTCTGCTCGTCGACTTGGGTAGTAAATCGTGAATGTGGCATTGTTTAACTGAGTAAATAGTCCTAACCATCCAGGGAGATGTGCGAGAAAATTACGGGCTCTCACCTGATGGGCAATACGTGCACAATGGAAACTACGAATACCCGCCGAATCATCAGCATCGTATTACAGCGAGTTAAATGTAGCTGAGCGAAGGTCACTCATTGATCGTTGCAAAATCACAAGATACACGAAGTTGCTGCGAATGCTTGAGGTGACTTGGGAGAGGAGAAAATGAAACTCTAAGGCACCACCCATAGCGCACAGTTAAACTATGAAAACGCATCTCTTTAGGAGTTTGGACCTAGTGAAAAGATGACCTGTACGCAACTGCAGTCGGTTTGCGCACCATGTTCTTCAGGTTTTTTTTACATCTGGGAAGAGAAAGACACCTACTCTACCGAACCTGTACATCCATTGATTCATGTTTCATCCCGCGTCATCTGTTGGTCTCTACTTGCTTTCTCCCAGTCGGGAACGAAAACTGCAAATAAGGCGCGATGAGACAGGTAGTCGTTTGGCATTTAAACCAACTACCCTAACCAGTGAAGCCTACTCATTCGTATACTGAAAGATAATGAAATTACCATCGATACGTTCCCAAACACATGACGGCTTATCTCCAGCAGGCCAGTAAAATAGCATTTTTGATGAACGACTGGTGTTGATTTTTGTTATGCGGGTTTGATTCTAGCTTTTAAGCCAACGTGTTTTGAAAGATGACTAGGCAAGCTGATTGGGATAGTTTACCGCAATCTAACACTCACTGCATGGAGCCGTTGGAAAGCCAACGGACGCACACAAACAACTGAATGCAAACTAGTACATGGTTGGAGTTGGGACGATGGCGGGGTGGTGTGGTGTGGGGGCGTTATAATACGATCAGAAGTTTGCTAGGGAAGGACGGAAGCCAATTGGCGTATCGACAATTTGATCGGACATTTATCTACTGGCTGAGAATAGGCGGTGGTCATAACATGGAATCAACAGCTGTTCCAAGATTTCAAAGCGACCGGAATCTAGAATAAGATGACTTTCCAAAGGTGCCTCGTTAAAAGACAGGCGACCTACTTTACCAGTCGTATCTCCTGCTAAAATTACGATATCAGATCCGCTCGCTTAAAGCGAGCGGTCATGTAGCAGTTTTTGGTAAACTATCTTTGACTGCATGTTGACTGCAGCCCGTTGGTGCGAACGCCGAGACGACAAACAAATTGTCCATTGGAGTGACTACTATTGACTTTTTACGGATCATGAAGTCTCATTGCACACAACCGACTGTCGTGTGGGATCCCACCTAACAGTGTGGCTTCAGCTGTCACGTTGAGAGTCAGACCGACACCGATGAAAATAGAAGTCAAAGTTCCCAGAAAGGCGTAAGTGAAAGTTCACAGATGGGTTCAATGAGGACTTCAATTGGACAATGCCGCTTGGATTTTTGGATGTAAATCTCTTAAATACGATACACCTCAATGGTTAGGGTCTTGAGGATGCTAGTTAAAAACGCCTGTTTGCCTGCGCGCATCAAAAATAGCTTCTGTTGAGTAATTCCTACTCCTATCCGTTGCGGAGGTTTCTTCTCATTGAAGTGAGAGGACAAAAAGTTGACATCCGGGTCGGTGAAACACCGGCAGTTCACCCAGGTAAGTTGGCTAAAATTTCTGATTCCAAACCAACCAAGAAGAGGCGTACGAATCACGCACACATCTTGGTTATAGCAGTAGTAGTGATGGAGGTTTATTGGGCATCATGGACATTTAATCCTGTAGAAAAAACGATTGATCCGGTGAACTTGCCAACGGTCCCCAACGAATTGGGGTTTCCACATTCCACCCCACTGCATTGCCGGTTAGGCGTTGGTTAGCTGAAGGTTCCGGTTGTGAATTTGCATAGAAAATTCACTTGCTTTGGCCTGGACAACCTAGCAGTATCGCACTCTGGAGCAAATCCTGGAGCTTTTCCTTTGCTGTAAAGATTATTGTACCGTGATTTGTTTGGCACGCAGTTCGGACTGAAACGTGTTTCAAAATACCAAACATTTCAAATGTTTGCAGCTGGATATCAAGGACAACAAGTGCCTGAGCCGGTCTAAGAGGATTTAGTAAATCTCAGATGCTAGTGGACGTAGGACGTGAAAAAACAGCGGCAGGATATCCATCTGACAGACTGCTGGTAGTGCAATCGTCTGAAGTTTCTGAGGGAAGAGTAGGCATGCCAGAGCGGTGATGTTGAAATAGATTGTGGCTAGAGAGGTAAGCGTACTCTACGGTGTACAATTGCCCACAGTCCTGGAGCAAGACGTAGAATATTTTCAGCATTGAGAGAAAGTTCGCGGTTGCTAGCTTGGTGTTCTGTTGTACTACTCGGTCTCCCGGTTCGGAGTAGGCCTTGTGCAACCAAATACGAACCACAAAGGAGCAGCGTAGTTCCAGATGAGCCGGTGACCCGTTGTGTGGTTGTTTCACGTCTTACGGAAGACTGAAAACAAAGTCCGGTAGGCAAAACAGGCTGTTCGATGGATTCATCAACTAGCCATTGCAATCATCTAGGGTTATTCGGGTTCGTCGATCTGGTTTTAATTACATCAACCTAAGTACAGAAAGTATGCCAAGATTGTTTATCTGATCCTCACCTCGATTAAGTTATTGGTGCGTTCACCGGGGGTGTATTGTTGGCTTCCTTCATCCGAGGCCACGGCAAAGCTAAAGCCTGAACGAACTGGTTTTGGTTGCCTAGGGGGAGGAAATCCAATGTTTGGATAACTATCGCCTCGGTTGTGCGTAGAATGATAAACCNTGCGGGAAGCCTGATCAAGATAAACTGTGTGCCGTGTCTTCGGTAAGTGTTGGCAGAAAGCGCTTTCCGCTGGCCCAGTTTCACCGTGTCTCAACCAGCGAGAGGATGCTCGCGTATCCTCTTTGATCGCGGCCTCGTAGTTCAACGGAGGTAGCTCGCTCCACAAGAGCAGACAAACTCGTAAAAAGGCCTCGAATCTGTTTGAAGGAGTAGTTTACCTTTGAGGTGAAACCCTATTGCTGATGACTTGGTGAAGTTCATGCACAGTTCACCCGTTGTTATCGTTTGACGCAAGGCTTGATTGATCCGTCGTGTAAGCCACTCAGTAGTGTTATAACCTTTGAGCGGTAGTTGCAAATAAAGTGGTTTCCTGTTGGCCGTGTGCACTACCAGTTGCGTGGATCTCTCTGTCCGG